AGAAGAACTCCACAATTATCGAGTTCGAGCCAAAAAAATTCAGGAAAAAATGATTTTTCAGACGAATTAGCTGTCTTGGAAAAAACTTTCTGTTTCATCGAGCAAAAGCCCAGGATTCCAGTCGACATTGATTGCTACGAAGCGAACGAGTTCGTTCACAACATCACCGATATTGTTTTCATGTGGTGGCTGGCGTTGAGTGATGGTGGTACGGTAGCCGAATATTAATTTCCATGTGTATGTGCGGGGGTGCGGGGGTGTCACTGAAAAGGGGGACGGGGGATAACATCGTTCTCGGTCTCCGTGCTTTTCCAGGGCATTCTTCTACCTTCGCCTGGGCTTTGAAGGAAAAACGATCTTGTCGCGTCAGTGGCCAGCGCTCGTAAGCGCGATATGGCGCAATAGGTATGGTAGCCATCGCGCGTTAAGTATCAATTTCCAATCAAGCACCAATGAAGGGGATAAGAGGACATCCTTGCCTCTCTCGACGTCTGCCCTACTCGGCCACGGTGGCTGAAAACCGGTACAGAACCCGTCCTCATCGAACATCTTCGTCGACGTCGTCGGAGACGATTTGCATAAGCCCCTCTGCCTTCAATGGGAATCTCATCGCTGAACTGAGAAGTTTAAAATCGTTTTAGAACGAAATTTCAATTGTTCAGCCGAAAATCGATAACTGGCAAACCCTTCACATGCCCCAGGGTGACGTGTTCGTGCAGGTTAAATTTAATCCGACTAAATGAGACTGACTGACACATTCATATGTATTGATCAATCACATTTCTCGCCACCTGAATAAGGCTATTGTCCACGGGTGGCCGCCGATGGCAAGTTGCCACCCGCGAGCAGTATAGTGGGGAATTGTTACTCGAAACATTACATATGACCATGTGAATGAATAGAATTGCCATCGGTAAGCTTACCTATTACCCGGCATGACGCCAATTTACAGAATTTGCTACAGATCCACCTGTTGCTCGGGATCTTCAACATCGAGGTCTAACTGCCTGAAGCAGATCGTGCTCTGAAGCTCTGAAGATAGCAAGCAGTCAGGCTATTAGGCTGTGATGGACACTATTGGATACCAGAGTTGGATATCTTGTAAATAGTAGCTATTCGACCCAGTGGTTACGGTATTAGATTGTCCGCAATGTTGCGCAATATGTAGCGCCACTACAATTGAAAACGCAGCAGAGCACGAAAATCGTCCCCCACACACAAATCCTAATTGTCGCCATAGAGCCCAAGTAACTACTTGGTTACTTGACTTTTCACATACTGTACTTTCTGTTCAACAAGGTTACCAGTATAACAGCCTTTGTCTTGGCGTTACCAATCAAAGAGTGTGGTAACAATTGGCGTTAAAGTGCTAATCGTTTCGCCTAGTCAAAGCCAATTGAAGAAATGCCGCCTTTGGTTGTCGGCTATTCTCGCCACCTTCGATTTGCCTCATAATCTACCTATGGCTGCTTCAACGTCTATTAACAGCGGAGCAATTATGAGAGAATGTAGGTGTAGAGAAGGAAAAACGAGACGACCTCAAGTCATAACACGGGTTTTCAACATGTTCTCACACACTCATCAAAGAGACACCGTACCTAGGATACGGTAATGGGGTTCGTGCAAAGAAATTCGCCGAGATCAGCATCGTGAAGCATCGAAGAAGTGCTATTTGGTAAGGGAAAGCCAGGGAAAAAGGTGGGATTCGAAGGGATTCATGGCGTACGGAGGGACACAGGGTGTGAAAATGATGAGCCCTAAACGCCTTTATGACGCTTTTCAATCGCGAAATGACACAACTTCTGCGGTTGCGGACTCAGTCACCCCATTCACGAGATGAATTGTTTCAATGAAACTAATTGCGGATATACTTTCGAAATAAGCGAGCACATTTGTAGCCCATCCCCTGGCGCGATCGATCCGGAAAGACTAAGGAAAAGGAGAAATCCTGGAGCTTACGACTCCTGGAAGCTACGAATGCTAGATAGCCCTGTGGCAACTGTCTTCATCACTCTTTGGTGGACACCTCAAGTCCGTGTCAAAGTAGTACTGTGTAAATTTTGTCATGTACTTGACCGCTCGCACCCGTAACAATAGATTTATGCAAACAATATCGACGCAACAAAACTCATCCCTAACTTGCGAGATGGGAAGGATCTGCAGGGTTACCTAAGTCGAGTAGTGCAAAAGGGAAGCGACCGGTTGAATTTTTCGAGGGGTTCTAAAACTGGAAAACTTCGAAACTGAGACCAAGAATGCTATAGGTTAGAATTAAGTGATTCCAGATACTTTTTTCACAATTATCCAAAACGCTTGTGTCTCGCTCCTTTCTCAGAAAAGTTCTAAATCCTCGGAGCTAGTCAGTGAGTTGAAATAAAAACATAAGGAAAATCTAAAAATCGATTCATTGTACATTTCCAAATATTTACAGTTTTGTTCGGCCGTTTGAGTGGAATGCTGCGCTTTCCAGCCT